TTCACGTGGAATACTCAAAAATAGTCAAGGAAGAAAGAAAGAAAATGGAATAGTTACCTGCAGGTCATTTTCTTTGCACCATTGAGTATCATAGTTATTACGGTCCCAGCATTCAAAGATCTGAAGCAGTTGAATGTGGTCACCAAATCCGGATCCATCAGGAAGATTAGATTCTTCATGCTTCCTCTTCTTTTCATTAGGTTTACTGTCATACAAGCACAAAGCATAACGAGAAGAGATGATGCATCTGTTGTGATTTGAAACATTTCATAATCTGACTGAGGTGATTGTATATCATAAAAAAACTAACCTCCTACCAGGAAGTAGAGTAGTCTCTGCTGACAACATGGCGACGACTGTTAGTGCTTGAGATAAGCAACCATTTTCATTAGCTTCTATCAATGTTCTGGACAATGATGGTTCTAGTGGAAGCCCTGTTGAACCACAAATATGCTCAGTATGAGATAAAAGCTCAAACTAAAATTTGCTAAACAGTGGGAAAATGCGTTAAACATACCAGACATTGTCCGTCCAATACTTGTGATTGCTCCATTCTCATCAATCGCATCAATGAGATATAATTGCTTCAAGGCGTCTTCTAATGACTCAGCTGCAGATTATAGGTAGAATCAAAACCATAAATTCATGAAATGTCTCAAATTTAAAACAAAAACACCACTGTGTGCATGACACACCATCTTTCTGATTATACAAAACTATAGAGGCATCTACCTCTCGATAGAAACTAATTCTTACATGATGGAGCGTCAAGAAAATCGAACTTCAGAATGTCAATATCAGGAAGATCCAACGATTTCAAGTAAAGAACACTCCCGGCAAGAGAAGTTCGTTGTATTTCAGGAACTGTTGCATCAAGGAAGTCATCCCGGAAGACTGCCAAGGGGTATAATCGATAACATTTCCCAGGTCTCGTTCTACCAGCACGTCCAGCACGTTGGTTAGCTTGCACTCTGGAACACCACAATTAAACAGAAATCAAAGTACAATAAGTCAATAGCATATAGGATCTTGATGAAAACCAAAGTACGAAACCAATATTATTTTTGAGTAAGCATAAGCTATATCTGATGAGGTCCTCTTTAACAACTTTATTATTCTTTTTTGGGGAAATTGCAGATATTTTGTAGATACAGTTATATAAATATCATGCCACGTCAACTACGAGGTTCATTCTATGCACCAACAGATTAATACGAGTTTCATATTTAGCGACAGTTTAATGAAATGAACCAAGATAATTAAAAGTCCACTCATCTGCTTACTTGCTAATTTGAATAACATCAAGAGAATACATTCCACTTGATGGGTTATATTGTCTTTGCTTCACGTACCCTGAATCAATTACATACCTGTCACAACAAAATAGGCTAATCTGAGAATGCTATCGATCAACATATTGTCAAAACGTTATCTGAAAAATTGCTTAAAATATAGACATGAACTCATGAACCATCCGAATAAGACTTTCGGCAACACTAACAGAAGATTTAAAACAACCAAGCAGATTTAAGAATGCAGTGTATAAGATATCCGCACACTAAATTTAACTTTCAATCTAAAGTGAACTAAAAGAAGTGAGGAGTATAACAACAAAATTAAGCCAACATCAAATAAACAATTCAAAATTCAGGTTTCAGGTTTCTTACACAACCCCGTCCACAGTAAGGGAAGTTTCAGCAATATTTGTCGTAACAATAAACCTCCGACAGTTTGGAGGAGGTGGACTAAACACTCGAACCTGCAGAAATAGTGAAAGTCAAGACAAATTACCAAAACCTTTTAAACCACAAAGAGGTCTTGATTGCAGAAAAAAACTTCAGAAATGTATACCTGCATTTCAGGTGGCAGAGATCCGTGCAGAGGATAAATAATAGCATCCATACAGGATCCTTCCGCTATGCTTCGTACTTTATCCTCCAGCTTTGCTACTAATTTTTCTATATCATCCTATTTTAAACCATAATCGAGTAAGAAATGCAACAATGTAGATGGTTCAGCCTTAGTTTCAGTGAATAGAGCATAAAGAAATGAAACAGACCTGTCCAGTCATGAAGATTAAAATATCACCTTCTGGCTCACGAACATGTATATCTGCAAGTTACAAGAAGTTTTTTTGTAATGCAAGAGAGAAATGTATACAGTCAAACATTGAAAACAAAAACACTCGACCTTGAACATACCAATTGCTACATTCAGAGATGACTCAATATAACTGCCAGGACGCTCTTTGCTGTATAATATTTCCACAGGGTATAACTTTCCAGGTACATTCAGCACGGGGCAGCCCGAAAAGAATTCAGAAACCTTATCGCCGTCAAGTGTTGCAGAGGTTATAAGAACTTTAAAGTTGGACGAACGGATTCTAACCAAACGTTTCATCAGACCCAACAGAATGTCCCTGATAACAAAATGGATCAAATTAAGATAAATTCCAAAGCCTTTGTGCATGTTTCGATAAGATGTTATTTGTCATAAGAAGCATAACAGAAGAAAGTGAAGGCTATTCAGCAAACCGAGATCAAATCTGAATATATAAAAGGGCCGTACGTGTTCAAGCTTCTCTCGTGAGCTTCATCTAATATGATTACAGAATAATCGTCGAGCATTGGATTCGACAGACTCTCACGAAGTAGAACTCCATCTGTAAGGTATCTGAGAGGAATAAACAATCCCACAATGAGGAAACTAGTCTGACAAAAATCCTGTGAAAAAAAGTAAACATTTTTGTTATCATCTTCCATTACTTAATGCGTGTTTTGCTAGAAGTTCTGTCCTCGAAACGTATTGCATAACCAACATCTTCTCCGAGATTTACATCGAGCTCCTGTGCGACCCGCCTGAAGACCATAGCTCAGAAAGCCGACTTAATATCAATTTTGACATGTGAAAGGAACCAACAAACACTCGAGATGAGATTAATGGGTAGAATTGAACGGGAAAATTCACCTGGCGACGGAAACGGCGGCGACACGTCGGGGCTGAGTGACGGCGATGACGCCGGACTTAGTGTAGCCACGTCGATGAAGTATCTGAGAGAGCTGAGTACTCTTCCCAGAGCCGGTTTCTCCGATTATAACTACAACTGGGTTCTTCTCAACTGTTTCCACGATCTTCTCTTCGAATTGAAGGATCGGAAGATTCGCCATATCACAGAAAAGCACTCGAAGAAACCTATCAAGTCCGGCAATCGACTAAACTATTGATTTTCTGCGTATCTTCAGTCTAAAATCTCATTACTCTGACGGACGACGCGATAAGTTCAGTAAGCCCTAATCGCATTCCCAAATCAACACAAATTTCCTAAACCCTTTCCATTCGAAATTGGATTACAGATTCAAAAAGCAGAAATAGAGCTAGAAAAGAAAACAAATAATCTCAAACATGTTATCTATACTATTAATCTATACTATTATTAAAGTAGAGGAACAACTTAAGAAAATACACTAAACAAGCGTCAGGGCAATCACACACACAAAAATAAAATCAGAAGACGCTGACAGTTTTCTATTTACTGGAAATTGCAAAATGACCCCTATATTTACTCACTTGTTACAGTGATGGACTTAATTATGACAGAATTATGTGATAAAGCTATTTTTGTCTCTGATTTTTATGTATGTTTTAAGGTTCAGTTTCTAGATACTGTAATCTTTTGTAGAGATTAGGGAATGTAAAGTTTTTGACAGTTTCAGTTCGTCGTGAAATCCGAGCTTTTTTTTTTACAATAATTAAAAATAGTGTAAAAATGTATTACAGTAAACTGAATAGTAATAAAAGAAAAATAAATAAAAAGTTAGCATCAAAATTTGATATCCGATAAAAATGTGTATTGAGTGGTTACAGCTAGCATTTTCCTTGATGACTATTGTTACAGCTAATATTTTCCTTGATGATATATGCCAGTAAGGTGATTTCATTTTACTTGATGGTATATGACTCATATGACACTAAGGTGATTTTAAACCGAATAATGACAAATATTTGTATATACAATACTTGAAAATGGAAATTGAAATTGTGTTGTTAGATAGATACTGATTTTACTTCTGTTTTTCAGTGCCATACACTTGTAGACACTTCTGTGCTGCCCAAATGTAAGAAAGGTAAGTTATGCTGCTTTTGTTTTTTTCTTTGGTCAAGCTAGTCAACTTTTCTATGAGTATTTCTAGCAAAAAGGAAATAACTTTTACCATATATTGATTATAATGTACAATATATCTATGTTAAATCTATGTTTTAGCATATAAAAATTTTCTTTTCCCATTGTGCGTTTCTTTACTTATTATTTCTCAATAAAAGCTTCTACCTCATATCTCATCTATTCAAAGAGAAATCGAATAACCCTTTTCTGTTTTATGTTTTCATGCAGTTCCAAAAAGGAATCAAAGGAGTCAAGCACGGGTTTTTACCTTGTGATAAATTGACACAAAAAGGCATTTGTAACAGAACTAATCTCAAACATTCGGCGATCCTAAAATATCTCTAACACCAACACCCCAACGTTACACATGCTTATCTGCAACAAAACCAAAAATGGTTGAAACGTCCATCTTTTAGAACTAATATCCAAAGGACTGTTAGAGATATTAAGATAATTCTTTAGCAGCATCAGAAGAAAACAAACTAATATCCAAATGAATGGTCTTTGAGTATTAAGTAGTTATTGTTGAACTATAATCACATTCGTATAAGTTAAAGTCTTATTTACATAAGTTAGTTACACACTGCATAAGTTAGTTACCAAAAAGCATGTTTGTAACTTGTGTCGTTACACAAGAGTTGTCTTTTAAACACAATATTGTGTGTTGTATAAGTATATCGAGTCAAACTCCGATGTAAACTATCAAGTTTCAGATCAATAAAGTTATATTTTGTTCTTCGTTCTTTTTCATAAGACAAGAGATGAGTTATCTCTTGTTCTGTTTTTCTCTCAATGTCTCATTCTTTCTCCTACTCTGTTTTGTAATAAAAAAATCAACATGGTATCAGAGCTTTTATGGTCGTGGAACCTGTTAAAGCACACAAATAATAAAGAGAACTCTGCTGCGAGAAGAAGAGAAGAGATGGAGACTGCAAACCGGAGAGAAGAAAGAAGAAGAGGAAGAAGAAGAAGAGAAGAAATAGAAGAGGAAAAGGTGGTGCCAAAAGAGAGGACCATCAACATTCACAAGCCCATTCACATGCCATACCTTCAAGAGGAAGGCTCCAAAAGAGAAGGAGGAGATAAGAGATCTTCTCAAAAGTCAATGGAGATAAAGGATGTGGAGATGGAGTTGTGGGAGGAAAATTATGAAACTTGATCGACAACGTCTTGGTGAAGCACAAGGATGCGGAAAAGGCATCACTCAATGGAGGCATCACTGAAAGAAGACGAACGGGCACAATAGGGGAACCGGTGACACAGTCAACCGAAGAAGACGTGGAGGAGAAGATTCACGCAAAGCACAATACGGGAACCGGTGACACAGTCAACCGAAGAAGACGTGGAGGAGATCTACGCATGAGAACCGGTGACACAGTCAACCGAAGACGACGTGGAGGAGATCTACGCATGAGAACCGGTTACACAGATAACCGAAGAAGACGTGGAGGAGATCTACGCATGAGAACCCGGTTACACAGATAGCCGGAGACGTGAGGAGATTCAAGGAGACGTTGAAGCAACAAAGAGGATGCTTACCTCTATGAATAAAAATGGAGCAGAGAAGACGTGAGAAGATTCACGCATCAAGGAGACGTTATGGTGATCAAAGGAAGACACCGAAGCAACAGAGAGGATGCTTACCTCTATGAATAAAAGTTGGAGCAGAGAAGACGATTCACGCATGAGACGTCAAAGGAGACGTTGATGGTGATTCAAGGAAGACACCAAAAGAGGATGCTTACCTCTATGAATAAAAAATGGAGCACAAGGCGGTTGAAGAATTATCGAAGGAGAAGATTCACGGAACGTTTGATGGTGATCAAAAGAAGACACCAAGCACAAAAGAGGCTGCTTACTTAAATGCAGAGCAGGAACCGGTTATAGTGTTAACCCAAGAAGAAGTGGACAAGAAGATTCAGGCACGGGAGTGGTTACACAAATAACCAGAGAAGAAGTGGTGAAGGAGATTCACCCACGAGAGTTGATGGTGATCCATGGAAGACGCTAAAGGAATCATCAAGTTGGAGTACATCAAAGGAGAAGATCAACTCGCAGACTTACTCACCAAGGGATTAAGCATATCACGATTTGAAGACCTTCGGGAGAAGCTTGGAGTAAAACCGAAATGTGATTAAGGAGGAGTGTTGAACTATAATCACATTCGTATAAGTTAAAGTCTTATTTACATAAGTTAGTTACACACTGCATAAATTAGTTACCAAAAAGCATGTTTGTAACTTGTGTCGTTACACAAGAGTTGTGTCTTTTAAACACAATGTTGTGTGTTGTATAAGTATATCGAGTCAAACTCCGATGTAAACTATCAAGTTTCAGATCAATAAAGTTATATTTTGTTCTTCGTTCTTTTTCATAAGACAAGAGATGAGTTATCTCTTGTTCTGTTTTTTCTCTCAATGTCTCATTCTTTCTCCTACTCTGTTTTGTAATAAAAAAAAAAAAAAACAGTTATCAAATAAACCATCTGAAATAATGAATTTGGGCTAGAAGGAACAAAATGATATAAAAAATGTTCATTAGCAAGTTTCTTTAGTGACCAACGATTCAAAAGATTGCTGCAAATAATTTGAAACAGACAAGAAAGGGATTTGTATCCGTCACTTACAAATGTGGCATGCTAAACCAGCTCATAGAGTTCAATGACTGCGCAGCCATGCCGAGTGTCTTCCATGAACAAAATTTCAACAGTCCTCAACTCATCAACAGCTCGCATATCTAAAGCCATCAAAATCAGATCACAGAAACCTATTAAGTTGAATTTAGTGAATAAGCTAAACATATGATCACTTCCGGAAAGGTGTTGAAGATCATCGCAGATCAAAACAAGGGAATAACTCACAGATGTCATAGTAATTGTGAAGTGAAAGCTTCGGAGTCCGCATCATGCTAAGAATCTGAGCCGAATACTTGAGAGCATCTTCCAGATTATTCGAATCCTAGCTAACGAAAACAACACAATTTATTACAAAAGGAGCGATGACGAAGATGACAAAGGAAGTGGAGAAGGAGCGATGACGACTTCGGACATCATCAAAAAGGGGGAGAAAATGGGTCTGACTTCTCCAGTCGAAAGACCGGTACAATAAACTCAAGAATCAAATTAAACGATTGCGGAATCAAGGTTTGAAATCAAGCTGCAAAATTGTGAAATCGCAAAAAATAATAAACCAAATCGCAAAACTGTGAAATCGCAAGCTGCAAATTTACTATTTTTATAGCCATTTCGTTCTCTCAATCTTAGCAGTTTATTGATACACTTAACCAACACAATCGATACACTTGATTTCAAACCCCATTTCCAAAAAACAATTGGTGGATGAAATCATCAAACAATGGGATGAAAATGAAAACCAGAGAACAACAAACTTACTCGACGGTTAAAATAAAGTAGCAAGAAGAAGCTGTGAAACGACGAATGATGAAACCCTTTCTTGAGAGAATGAGGGAATAGGAAGGAGGAAGGATGAAGAAAATCAGTTAGATTTGTCACCAATTCGATTTGTGATAAGTTGTCACTGACAACGCCGGTGGTAAGAGATTTCGAGAGGAGGAAGGAACAAGACGGTGATGACTTCACGGTGGTTAGGGCATTGTCGAGATGAAAGGGGATTTCTTTTGTTGCTAGATAAAATATATATTAAATATTAAATTGTAAGAATTTGTTACTTCTTCGATATCAAGCACACATTAATGTTGAATATTGTAATCAGTCCCGTTCTATCAAGTATCTGTTCAAATACATCAACAAAGGACAACACTGTGTATCAGCAGCCATTACACGGAGAAAGGCTTCAAAAACTACGGGGAAAGAAGAAGAGGAACAACCTGTTGATGAAATTGAAAATTTCTTTGACGCCAGGTATGAGACTTGAGATTAAACCTTTGTTTGTATGGCTCTCTGTTTCAAGAATCTTTCTTAACGTGAAACCAACTTTGCAGATACATATCTGCTTTCGAGGCTGTATGGAGAATTCTTGGTTTCCCTACAACTTACAGGTCAACCCCTGTTGAGAAGTTAACATTCCATCTCGAAGATGAAAACACCGTATTATTCAGAGATGGTGATTCCGTTGATAGCGCATTGGCGCGTCCAGATATTTGTAGGACTATGTTCTTAGCTTGGTTTGATTGCTATGAGAATTACCCTGAAGCAAGGGAATTGACGTATGCTCAGCTTCCTAATAAGTTTGTATATGATGCAAAACAGAAGGTTTGGAATAAACGGAAGAAAGGTTTTGCTATTGGAAGGCTTGCTCATATTCCTCCAAGTGCAGGTGCTAAATATTTCTTGAGAGTGCTGATAAATAAAAAGAAAGGGGCACGATCCTACAATGATATTAAGACAGTTGATGGGATCGTTCAGCCTAGCTATGAAGAGGCATGTTATAACTTTGGTCTAATTGATGACGACAAAGAGTATATCGAAGGCTTGAAAGAGTGTGGTTATTGGGCTTCAGGATCTTATGTCTGCAAACTGTTTGCGATGATGCTATTGTCAAAGAGTTTATCTATGCCTAAGACAGTTTGGGAAACTTGCTATGACGACCTTAGCGAAGATGTGCTGCTAATAGAACAGAGAAAACGGAAAAACCCTGGTGAGCTATTAAATTATTTAGATATGTAGCTACAATTCACGAATTCATGATGTAGACTGATTTGTCTGTGATTTTTTTGTCCCTGTATTATAGGTTTCGTGATGACCGAGGACCAGATTATGAATGCCACTTTGACATCCATAGACATTTTTTTGAAACAAAACAGCAGCTCTTTATCATGTTTCAAAACATTGCCACAGCCAGTTGACAACTCCGAAATAGAGTCCTATAATCCGCTACTACAAGATGAGCTCAGTTATCCGCAGGAGGAGTTGCGTGCTCAACATGACATATGGCTTCCGAAGTTAACAGATGAGAAACTGTCAGTCTATGATGAGATAACCGGTGCTGTATGTCGGAAAAATGGAGGTGTTTTTTTGTGTGTATGGGTTTGGAGGAACTGGCAAGACTTTCTTGTGGACTACTCTTTCTGCTGCTATCCGATCTAAAGGAGAAGTTGTTCTAAATGTAGCATCTAGCGGCATAGCCTCTTTGTTGCTACCTGGAGGAAGGACTGCCCATTCTAGATTTAGCATTCGAATAAATCCTCACGAACTATCTACCTGCAATATAGAACTGGGAAGTAACCAAGCTGAGTTACTTAGGCGAGCTTCTCTTATTATTTGGGATGAAGCACCAATGATGAGCAAGCATTGCTTTGAATCACTAGATCGTAGCCTCTGCCACATTATGAAGACTGCCGATGATATACCTTTTGGTGGTAAGGTCGTTGTATTCAGAGGCGATTTCAGACAGATTTTGCCGGTGATTCCTAGAGGAAACAGAGCTTATATCGTCATGGCTGCTCTTAATTCGTCATATCTTTGGAAGCATTGCAAAGTCTTGCAGCTGACCAAAAATATGAGGCTTTTTGCTGAGTCGGACAGTCTTGAAGCTCAAGAGATAATGGAATTCTCTGAATGGATTTTAAAGTTGGGTGATGGGAAGATTAACGAGCCTAATACAGGAAAGACAATGATTCAGATTCCGGAAGATATTTTGCTCAAACATTCCAAAAACCCCATCGAGACTATAGTTCAGAAGTTTATGGTGAGACGTTCAGGGACTCAAAAGACCCTTTGTTCTTCCAGGAGAGAGCTATCTTGTGTCCTACTAATGATGATGTCGATATGATCAACAACTATATGCTCGATCTTCTTACAAGTTCGTATACATTCCTTAGTCATGTCTATCTTTCTTCTGATGTGTGAATATTGTTAGTAATGATACAATTTAAGAATTCTCCTCTTTCGCTATAATAGGTGAGGAAAGAGTATATTTCAGCTCTGACAGCATTGACCAGCAGATACGAACTCAAAGGATGATTCTGTTTTCACTCCAGATTTTCTTAATAGTATAAAAGTATCAGGGTTACCTGCTCACTCTCTACGGTTGAAGATTGGTACACCAGTAATGATTTTAAGGAATATAGATCCGAATGGCGGTTTGTGCAACGGAACCAGATTGCAGATAACTCAGTTGGCTAATCATATTGTCGAAGCCAAAGTATCACCGGCACTAGAGATTGAGAGAAGGTGTTCATACCCCGTATGTTGATTACTCCATCAGACAGTAAGCTTCCTTTTAAAATGAGGAGGAGGCAATTTCCAATCAAGGTTGCTTTTGCAATGACAATAAAAAAAAAGCCAAGGTCGAACACTTGCAAAGGTCGGTCTGTATTTACCTAGGCCTGTGTTTTCACATGGTCAATTGTATATTGCCGTGTCGAGGGTGAAGTCTAGGAAAGGATTAAAGATTCTGATTAATGGCAAAGACGATAAGCAACCAGAGACATCCACGATGAGCGTCGTGTACAAGGAGGTTTTCCAGAATCTATTTGAAAACGAAACTTGATCCAAGCTGAATGCTGCAATATTGAATGGCCATTGTGAAATGCAAACGGTATGTTAGTTTTTCTTTACTTTTATACTTATCCCCTATTAAGTCTATCCAATCCAATTACAAATTGTATACACGATTCTGTATCATGCACATCATGTCGACAAATCGCAGTAGTTACTCTGCATCAACGTCAGACGACAATGGCACTGTGAAGAGAGCATCGTCCATTATCACAAAGTCCTGATTTTTTATCAAGGATGTGTCGTTCGAATTAAACAAACCTATGCTCTATTTTTTTAAGAATTATTTGCTTATTAGATATGTTTGGTAAACAAATTTGTTGATTTTGCTGTCCAAACCGAGATGGCTTTTACGCTATATGAGTTGTTATGTGGTGTAGAACGAAATCATAGTCATAAACATGAGTAAAGCTGAGAAATCTTTGTCTCAATCTGATATCACTCTCTCCCATTGCTATGGCGCCGTATATTACATATTTTCCATGAAAGGTTTTGCATTTGGGCCAGCAATTACGTTTGAGGGTTTAGGCCCAAATATCAATTGTTAAGTGTAAATAGCCTAGAGCACAACTCTCCACTGCCGAATTGCATAATTCGTGTTTCCGGATCAACTGCTATTCCCGACTTTTCCAAAGGAAACATGCTGCTGATGTTATGCGTGCTACTGGAAGAGGAATGACTGAGTGTCAAGACAGCTGAGTAGTTGATTGCTTCTAAATTAGGTATTTTTTCTTACTCTAGGAACCAATCAACGAGATTCTACCCACCTTAGTTGATTATTATTTTGATTTTCATTAAGTAAGCAGATATTTGAAGATCATGATCCTCATCACTTTCGTAATTTAACATTCACGTTAGATCGTATCTTTTATTGAAGACCGGCATATGTATATGTCTATTAGAATGGTTAATATTTAGTTACCAGAAGCAAATTTCCGTTCTTGCCATATGTAATATAATTTGAGAATCATATATTTTTCGTAATCGTAATTTCATATTTGATTGGAGTTTTTCTATAATTGCAGCAAGGTTGTGCCTATATAATAGGTAATAGGTTCCTAAACTTGCATATCAACTCAAAATTCTCATAACTTTTTTTCAGTAATGTCTAATTATATGCAGCTTGCTGCTTTTAATAGATCGACTGTTAACTCTAAGATTCGTGTGAAGGTTCTCAGGAAATGGACAACCACAAGAGGAATAATTGGCGACCAATCTGATATGCTTTTCGGTGATGAAAATATAAGAACGGAATCTAAGTATATATCAGTAAAACCATTATTTGTATGGCTTTCTTATGAAACTTTAGAGCAGGCTAACTGAAACCATTCATGTTTTTTTTTTTTTTTTTTTGTGGAAACAGGACTTAACTATTCAAGCAACTAGCTTACCAGAGGTGGGTGTACAGACTGGTACCATTGTAAATGAAGGTGATTGGATTACCGTAGAAAATTTCAAGATAACTCACTCCTCCAGGAAAGTACGGCCGTCCACATTTACTTCACTAAGGATACACAAGTTATGAAAATTCAGCCGCTGAACGAGGACACGTTTTTCCGTTTTGTAAACTATCAGGACATCCTACGTGGTCTATGTCACCCTATGTTTGCTATTGGTATTTTCTCAATCTGGATAAGTATTACATTATGCCTCTTATCACAATTGTTTTCGGGTTATTCTTTGTTGTTCAAATCAACATCAAATCAGCAGTGTATTCATTTCTTTATTTTCTTTCTGAATGTATGATTACTGTCACCTAGATGTCTATGGAGCCTTGGTTAGTGTTGGTAATTTCCAAGTAGTTGAAGACGATCCACATGGCGAAATGTATGGTGAAAAGAACAAGAGATTGCAGTTTCGTTTGAAGGACATCATGTACGTTTTGACCAATGTCTTTTTATCAACTTATAGATTGTGTACCTCATATCCGAATCTCTAGCCTCAACTAAATGCAATTTTTAACTGTCGACTCGCAGGGAGAATGAGTTAGATTGTGTTGCATATGGTGACCTTGCTGATGAATTAGACAATTTTTGGTGGTCATCGGACGCTAACATCGTCTTATGTGTTCTACATTTATGGACAATTGAATGGGAAGGTGATTACAATGAGTGGAATAATTTATCAAAATCTATGTGCGTATTAGTGTTACAATAAAGCAGTATTCTCACAAACTTTGTTTTATATGAATAGGGGGGTTTTCACACATCTCAAACATGCCAGGATGTTCTAAACTGTTGTTTGATCCTGAGATACCTGAAATACAAGCATTCAGAACGATGTAAGACAACATGTTTACTTATGCTTACTAAACTACTAAAAAATAAAATTTGTGGTTTACAGGATTCCACTGAACGAATACTGAGAGACGATGTTGGAGAAATACGTAGATGGCAGGATTTATGTTTCAGATGTTCTTTTGGTCGGCGCTGCATTTTCTTTATGGGTTTTAGTCCTTCAGTTTTTATTTATTTATTCCGATTACGTAATTGACGTTTAAGCCATCTATATGTACCTCCAAAACTCTTATTTTACAATGATGGAAATTATGTTTAAGTGACTCGATGGAGAAGATTTTTTATTTTGTTTGGTATGGCACACAATGAATAGATCCCACAACAAAGAACTTACAATGCAACAATAATAATATGGCTAATCCAAGGTTGAAGTAAATGGAAAAAGTCATATATTCATATGTAATTATTTTAATTAAATTTCACCCCGCGCAGGGCGCGAGTCCAACCCTAGTTAGCTTATATTAGACACTTAGTCATTTTGGCTTTTGTAAATTGTAGTCTGGTTTAGCTTTGGTTTATATTTTGGTTTAGATACGGTTTAGATCAATTGTATAGTATACATATCTTGTAATCACTTTTAGCTCATTAATGAGAATTATCTGAATTTTAATCATTTTCTCTCTCTCTAAGATCAAATGCTATTATGGTACAGAGAATTTTCCGCTTTGTTTCCTTTGATCTTCTTATGGATTATTCAGTTTTTCTTCATTCATCTTCCATTTTCTTCGTTGCTTACTGATTGGATCTCATTTTTATATTTAATTTGAACCCCACGACTCGCAAATCACCTTTGTGAACTCATCTTTTTGGTTCAAACTTGTTTTCGAGCTCCGATCTACACTTATGGCGAAGAATGGAAGGAAAAACCGCAATCAGACGGCGTCTCCGGAGCGTACGCCTTCTCCGTCACCTCCGATCGGCGGAAATGTTGCCATGACTCCTCACACTGGATATCGCGTTCTCCGCGGTGTCTCCGATCCACTCTCTGCTTCAGCTAACTCGTATGATAACGTCCATAGTCCGTTTTTCCTCCACTCCGGCGATCATCCAGGTCTCTCCATTGTTAGTCACACCCTTGATGGTACGAATTACAATAATTGGTCGATAGCGATGAAAATGAGCTTAGATGCGAAGAATAAGCTTAGTTTTGTTGATGGATCGCTTCCTCATCCTGCTGTTGATGATATTTCGTTCAAAATCTGGAGTAGATGTAACAGTATGGTGAAGGCTTGGTTGCTGAATGTGGTGAACCAGGAGATCTATGACAGTATCCTATATTACGATGATGCAGCTGAGATGTGGAATGATTTGTTCTTGCATTTTCGTGTTAACAATCTTCCGTGGAAATATCAGCTTGAGCAAGCTATTAGTTGTCTCCAGCAAGGCAATCTTGACCTCTCCACATATTACACGAAGAAAAAGACACTTTGGGAGCAATTGGCGAATGCCAAATCCTCTATTGTGAAGCGTTGTGATTGTGATCATGTCAAGGACTCCTGGAAGAAGCTGAGACAAGTCGTATCTTCCAGTTCCTTATGGGACTTAATGACAATTTTGCGAACTTCCGTGGGCAAATTCTGAATATCAAACCTCGGCCTAGCTTGACTGAGATCTACAACATGTTTGATCAGGATGAGAGTCAGAGGTTGGTTGGAGAACGATCATCTCCTTCTCTTTCCCCTCCTGCTGCTTTTCAGATTCAAGCTCCTTTGGTTGAAGATCAGTCTACTATTCTCCTTCCCAAGGTGGTTATCAGAAGCCTAAATGTTCATATTGTCATCGTATTGGTCATGTAGCTGATAAGTGTTACAAGTTGCACATATACCCACCTGGTTCTAGTCCCAAATGGTAGAAGGCTCAAACCATTGGTGCAGCGAATCTGGCAACAACACAGCTACAGTCTCCGGCAGATCACAGGGTTGGTGATTCTGCTTCGTTGTCCCCTTCAATGTCCAATGATCAGATTCAGTCTATGATTGCTTATCTTAGTTCCAAGATTAAAGTTTCATCGGTTGATCCCACACCCGATAAGCCTTGGTCATCGCCTTCACCTTCCGTGCCTGTTATTTCACAAATTTCAGGTACATTTCTTGATCTATATTCCAACTCCTATTATGACATGCTTGTTTCTTCAGTATCTACGGAACCGGCTGTGTATCCTAGAGCTTGGGTTATAGATTCAGGAGCTACACATCATGTCACCCATAATAGAAGCCTTTATGTAGATTACAGAGACTTAGATCAAACCTTTGTCAAACTCCCTAATGGCCTTACTGTTAGGATAGTGGGTATTGGTTTCATTCAATTAACTGATGCTATCTCTCTACATGAAGTGCTTTACATTCCTGAGTTTAAATTCAATTTGATCAGTGTTAGTGTTTTAACCAAGTCTTTGCACTCAATGGTTAGTTTCACATCTGAAAATTGGTTTATTCAGGATCTTACTCGGGAGTTGATGATTGGTCAAGGTAGTCAAGTTGGAAATTTATACATCTTGGATTTCAATGCTTCTGATCATTCTGTTTCTTTAAAAGGTATTTCTGATGATGTTTCTTTTTCGCCAGTTTGTAATAGGTTTGCCGCTGATTCTGTCACTTGGCATAAGCGTTTAGGTCACCCTTCTGTTTCTAAAGTTGATTTGCTTTCAAATGTACTTCTTTTGAAGAGTTCAAAATCTAATAAAATGGTTTCCCATGTGTCACATTTGCCATTTGGCCAAGCAAAAGCATTTACCTTTTAAATCTCGCAATAATTTTTGCTCTTCTAGCTTTGAACTTGTTCATATTGATACTTGGGGACCATTCTCAGTTCCTACTGTTGATGGGTTATCTTACTTCTTGACCATTGTTGGTGATTTTAGTCGTGTTACTTGGGTTTATTTAATGAAGCACAAATCTGATGTTTTACAAATTTTTCCTGCTTTTCTAAACATGGTCGAGACTCAATATGATACTAAAGTCAAGTCTGTTCGTTGTGATAATGCGCATGAGTTAAAATTTGCTTCTTTGTTTTCTGAAAAAGGTATTGTTGCTTTTCATTCTTGCCCTGAGACACCTGAGCAAAACTCCGTAGTAGAGAGAAAGCATCAGCATATTTTGAATGTGGCTAGATCCCTTTTGTTTCAATCCAATGTTCCATTAGAGTATTGGGGAGATTGTGTTCTTACCGTTGTCTTCTTTATCAACCGTTTACCTAGCTTAGTCTTAGGTAACCTGTCTCCTTTTGAAAAACTAACTAGTAAAATCCCTGAGTATCACTCTTTAAAGAGTTTTGGTTGCCTCTGCTATAGCTCTACTTCCCCTAAGAATAGACATAAGTTCAACCCTCGTGCCAAAGCCTGTGTTTTCTTAGGTTATCCTTCAGGTTTTAAGGGTTATAAGCTATTAGATATGGAGACACATGCCGTTTCCATTTCAAGACATGTCATTTTTCATGAGGATATTTTCCCTTTGGCTACTTCCAATATCGCGGATGTTACAAAAGATTTCTTTCCTCATTTTCATAATCCTGCACCCATTGATGACATTTTGCATTCTGCAAGCTCATCTTCTGATGCACATTCTCCCTGTGATGTGTCATCTTCCGAGATTGCGATTCCTTCTAAATCAAAATCCGAACGTACAAAGAAAACCCCTAAACACTTGCACGACTTCCATTGTTATAATAATACTAGTACTATCTTATATCCCATAATCAACTATGTTTCTTATTCATTATTATCTGAGCCTTATTTCTCTTTCATTCATACTATCACTACAACCTTTGTACCCAAAAAGTATTTAGATTCCAAGGCTTATGAAGTGTGGTGTGATTCGATGAAACTTGAGATTGATGCTATGATAAGAACTCGTACCTGGAGCATTCTGAGTTTGCCACCTAACAAGAAGGCAATTGTATCTAAGTGGGTCTTTACAATTAAGTTACATTCGGATGGAAGCTTGGAGAGACACAAGTCTCGCATTGTCGCCAAGGGCTACACTCAACAAGAAGGTTTGGACTATGAAGAAACATTCTCCCCTGTGGCGAAGTTTACTTCTGTACGTATGCTTCTCCTTCTTGCAGCTAAGTTGAATTGGTTTGTTGGTCAAGTTGACATCTCCAATGCGTTTCTCAATGGTGACTTGAACGAGGAACTCTACATGAAACTCCCTCCTGGTTATGCTGAGCTCACTGGTGAAGATTTGCCTCCTAATGCTGTTTGTCGCCTTCACAAGTCGATCTATGGCCTCAAATAAGCTTCTCGGCAATGGTACCTTAAGCTTTCTTCTACGCTTCTTGGTATGGGATTTCAGAAGTCTTTTGGAGATCATACTCTTTTTGTCAGTTTCATTGAGGGCCGTATCCTTGCTCTTCTCATCTATGTCGACGATATTATGATTATCAGCAATAATGAATCGTCTGTGAAGAATTTCATTGCTGCCCTTTCGTCTTGTTTCAAGCTTCGTGACCTTGATGATGCTAAATACTTCCTTGGCCTCGAGATCGCACGTACCTCTGCTGGCATTTCCGTTTGTCAATGGTTTGGAGTTACTTGAAGTCACTGGTTTCCTTGGCAGTAAACCGGCTTCTACACCTTTGGATCCGAGTTTGAAGCTGAACATGGAGATGGGTACTGCTTTTCCTGACCCTACCTCTTATCGAAAGATCATTGGTAAGCTTATGTACCTTCACATGACTCGACCTGATATTTTCTATGCTGTGAACATGCTTTGTCAGTTTTCTCATGACCCGAGAGATGTTCATTTGAAGGCAGCTCATCGAGTTCTTCGTTATTTAAAGCGAACTGTTGGACAAGGTCTCTTTTATGCTGCTAACTCTGCTTTTGATCTCCGTGGTTACGCTGATGCTGATTGGGGAACTAATACTGATGATCGGCGTTCCATTTCTGGCTACTGCATGTTCATTGGTGACTCTTTGGTGTCTTGGAAGTCGAAGAAACAAGACACTGTTTCCTGCAGTTCTGCTGAAGCTGAGTTTCGAGCAATGGCTTTTGCCACTAAGGAGATGATTTGGTTGTCTCGGTTACTGGTTTCCCTCAAGATCCCTTTTCAGGAACCCACACACCTCTATTGTGACAACACTGCTGCCATTCACATAGCCAACAACTTCGTCTACCATGAGAGGACGAAGCACGTTGAGATTGATTGTTACAAGATACGTGAGTCCATTGATTCTGGTTTTATCAAGACTATGTTCGTGGATTCTGTGGATAACTTGGCTGATTGCCTTACTAAATTGTTGCACCCGACTATGTTTCATGGTCTTATACACAAGATGGGTGTTTGCAACATCTTCCAACCTCCATCTTGAGGGGGGGTATTAGCTTATATTAGACACTTAGTCATTTTGGCTCTTGTAAATTGTAGTCTGGTTTAGCTTTGGTTTATATTTTGGTTTAGATACAGTTTAGATCAATTGTATAGTATACATATCTTGTAATCACTTTTAGCTCATTAATGAGAATTATCTGAATTTTAATCCTTTTCTCTCTCTCAAAATCAAATGCTATTAAGATAAGATGAAGATTCATAGCAGAAGAAGAAGAATTTGTGAAGAAGAAAGAAACGAATAAGAGAAGACGGAGGAGGTGGAGAGGTGGCAGTACGCGATGTAACTGATTTAGGATGAATTGTTTCGGTTAAATGTTCAGTTCAAAAATTATAATCTATAAATTATAATTCCAAATCAAATTATTTATATTATAGCTCTCATTGTTTCAGTTTGGAGGAATTACATTTTTGTTAAAAAGTTTTCTTGAATCTAAAAAAATTTAAATAACAAAAACTAATATGTCGGCCACTGACAAGTAATAATACTGAAGCAATTGAGATGTTTTTTTCTGTGTTAAAAAAAGGGAAATTGTACTCAATAACAATAAAAAAACTCATAATTAACAAAATAACCATATTAAACCTTTGGTTAGAATACAGTGTGAATAATATGTAATATTGCCAAATTACCCTTGATGGATGAGAGAGAAAGATGAACCAAATTTTCCCCTTCTTTGTTCATCGAGCTCATCGTCTTCTTCCTTCTTGAGATCTTCCTCTTAAATTTTTAATTCACATATATTGGTTTCACATATAGTTCACCCTTACTTCAATCATCTTTACCGATTACTTTTGTTTACTCATTTTCCTCTAATAAACTCATTTCTCATGTGTTTTCAACCTTTTTTTAGTATTTTTTTCGAGAACATATTATAATCTTCCTCTTTTGTTTTTCACAATCTTTTAATTTTCTGATTTCACTGGTCAGCGATCTAGGCGTTTCAGTCAGAAATAGTAGCTCATATCAGATATTGGTTTCGATTTCCTCCATAATCTATTTGGATTTCTTTTCAAATTTAAGTCAACAGTTGAATACACATCAAGAGCTTTTCTCTACCTGTGCCTTTCATTTCTTTATATTTGTTTATTCTTTAAACAAGAACGAAACTGGTGCGTATTACTGGACAAATCGAAGAAAAATGAAATGGAAGTTTATGTAATACAATATCTATTCTTCATTGTTTTGTATAGTATAAAACTGGTTTGGAGGGTAATTTCGTCCATTTTTGTCCAAAAACATTGTTGATGGTTACTTTCTTTATATTAATTTCCTTATGGCTATATTCTTTATTCACTACTCCAATATGGTTACTCAGCTAATTGACCCTAAAAAAAAATCTTGAATTGAAATTTTTTTAAACAACAAAATCCAATTTCTCAGACAGGTCTAAACGAATCATAGAATGAAAGGATTTAATAATTATTAATAATTAAATTAACTCAAAGGTTAACAACATCATGGGTCATATCAACATTTTTTAGATCCTGATTTATTTTTGAAAGATAGAAAAAAGAATAAATCTGATAAAACGTGAAATTTTTTAATTTTGACTGAAAATTATCCCATGGAAAAATTAATAAAAAAGAGAAAAAAACGAGAGAGAAGAAAAGAACATTACTTTAATTTGTAATCACTTTTCAAATATAAAATGACATGAAAAAATACAAATTGAAAAAAGATTGATTGAAAATGCATATGGAAAAGAAGTAAAAGATTGAGATGAGAAAAGAAAAGGGGAAGAAAGCTAAAAAAAAAGAGATTGCAAACGAGAGAGAGAAAATGAGTGGTTATGATTTACCGATTTTTTGATTTTTTAATGTTTGATTATTATTTTGTTTAACCTTTAACTATCATTTTCAGTTATTATTGGTTTAATTTCAGTTATTTGAATAATTTTAGAGAATTTTTAATGGATTTGGTACAAAGTAACCAAACCAAATAAGATTCGCAAAAAAAGGAGATATTTTGTATGTCCATGATATTGAAACCGAAATTGTGCTTCTTTACATTTCTTTACATGTTTTAAAACCACTTTTTCTTTTTTAAATCTATATAAGAATTAATTTGAAGTTAAAATTTTTGGTTCTCTCAAAGTTGACAATATATCATGTGGCCCATGCTGGTCGTAATTAACTTCAAGTTAAAAGGATTTGGATTCGCTAATGTCGTTCTCTCCACAACACATCAAAATTTAATGCAGTTATTGTGAAAATTAAGTTAATAATACCGATAAAATCAATAACTATCAATCTTTATTTTTCTTTTTAAAAACCAACAATCCGAGGCAGCACACGTCAAAATGAAATGATCAAGAAAATTTGATTCTCTCAAAGTTAACAATATCAACAAAATTAATAATTACCACTCTCATTAACGAAAAATAAAATCCTTTATTTTTTCAAAAATTACAACATCCCGTACTTCTCAAGTACGGGTCAGAACCCAAAAAAAAACCAAATTCGGATTCATTAAGATTTAATAATTTCTGAGAAATTGCAAAATCATAAAAATTGGGGTTACTGTATAGAAGGAAAGAGTACACGCAGAAGAAGATAAGCGGAAGCATAGGGACGATGTGCTCATGTTAAGCCCAAATAAGAACAATGAAGACAATTAAAAGCCATATGAAAGGAGGAAGAAGATCGTTGAAGAAGAAACAGAGAAATAACCATCGACGGTGTTCGGCTGGTTTTAAAAAAAAAGAACAGATCTCCTCGGTTAACCTAAATCGAACCAAATCGATTTGAGAATATAATAATACAATCAAATTTTAATATTATATTTACAGACTTAGACAACATATCAGCCACTTGATTTGCTTTATAATTTAAAAAGTTACTTTTCAAAAAAACGGAAATAACAAAAAACGGATTGTCAAATATGAAAAATTATACAGCATTATAACTCACCAAATGAAACCGAGCAAACCAATAAAACGACACATATGTATGTTATACTGTCTAGACGTTGAAGCCGGTTTGATTATGTTTGCTCGGGGTCAGTATCTAGTATGAAATTATAACAATTTGTATACATATTTATTTCGTCTCATACTAATCTAATCAAAATAACAATAATTCATCATCATATATCACACACACATATATACTATTATTTAGATATTTACCGTGTCAATAGTTAAAAACATTTTATAAAAATTGAAACATCCCGTGCTTCCTAAGCACGGGTCAAGATCTAGTATACTATTAAAATAATAAAAGAAAGGTGGTGGGTCCAAAGAGAGAGGAGAGAGGGAAGGGATGAGAGAGGAGAGACCAAACTAATTTCTCTTTCCTTTGTTGGTTTTTGGCGTGAGTTTTATAAGTGAGTCATGAGCTCTATATATATGCAACATATGTTATTAAACTAAGTAAAATATCTTCTTACTTCATGTAGAAGTAATTCTTATTATATGTTCATGGATAAGCATCTATTATAATACTCCCCCTTGATTATCTATTCTTGTGAAGTTGCTTACGGCCTCGTTAAAACCTTAATATGGAAAAACCCAATGGGATAAAAACCATGAAAAGGAAAAAGAGTACCGCGATGCAAACTCCCCCTGGAAAATGGATATAGTCTTTTCTTCATAAATCTCCAAATTTGGTCCATTTGATGTTCCTCTCTTGGATTGAGACCGTTTCACCCATGTTTGTCCTCATTATGAATCCATGTTTGGGTAAGTATGGGTCCGTCTAGTTCATCATATACACTACAAGTAAGTTCCCACAATGTGGAGGCACAGAGGTACATTTCGGACTCCTTACCTCTTCCGGTTCCCAAATTTGGTCCATTTGATGTTCCTCCCTTGGATTGAGACCGTTTCACTCATGTTTGTCCTCATAGTCATGTGGAGAACCTATTAATCCATGTTTGGGTAAGTATGGGTCCATCTAGTTCATCTTATACACTACAAGTGAGTTTCCACAATGTGGAGGCACAGAGGTACATTTCGGACTCCTTACCTCTTCCGGTTCCCAAATTTGGTCCATTTGATGTTCCTCCCTTGGATTGAGACCGTTTCACTCATGTTTGTCCTCATAGTCATGTGGGAACCTATTAATCCATGTTTGGGTAAGTATGGGTCCATCTAGTTCATCTTATACACTACAAGTGAGTTCCACAATGTGGAGGCACAGAGGTACATTTCGGACTCCTTACCTCTTCCGGTTCCCAAATTTGGTCCATTTGATGTTCCTCCCTTGGATTGAGACCGTTTCACTCATGTTTGTCCTCATAGTCATGTGGAGAACCTATTAATCCATGTTTGGGTAAGTATGGGTCCATCTAGTTCATCTTATACACTACAAGTGAGTTCCACAATGTGGAGGCACAAGGTACATTTCGGACTCCTTACCTCTTCCGGTTCCCAAATTTGGTCCATTTGATGTTCCTCCCTTGGATTGAGACCGTTTCACTCATGTTTGTCCTCATAGTCATGTGAGAACCTATTAATCCATGTTTGGGTAAGTATGGGTCCATCTAGTTCATCTTATACACTACAAGTGAGTTTCCACAATGTGGAGGCACAGAGGTACATTTCGGACTCCTTACCTCTTCCGGTTCCCAAATTTGGTCCATTTGATGTTCCTCCCTTGGATTGAGACCGTTTCACTCATGTTTGTCCTCATAGTCATGTGGAGAACCTATTAATCCATGTTTGGGTAAGTATGGGTCCATCTAGTTCATCTTATACACTACAAGTGAGTTTCCACAATGTGGAGGCACAGAGGTACATTTCGGACTCCTTACCTCTTCCGGTTCCCAAATTTGGTCCATTTGATGTTCCTCCCTTGGATTGAGACCGTTTCACTCATGTTTGTCCTCATAGTCATGTAGAACCTATTAATCCATGTTTGGGTAAGTATGGGTCCATCTAGTTCATCTTATACACTACAAGTGAGTTTCCACAATGTGGAGGCACAGAGGTACATTTCGGACTCCTTACCTCTTCCGGTTCCCAAATTTGGTCCATTTGA